TATCCTGTCGCTCGTTATCTCCGCCCGCTCGCGCGCGCGTGCTCCTCTTTCCGCCTTTGTTACACCGATCCGTCTCTGTCTCGTGTTCCACCTCCCCGCCCCCGCCTCCTCCCTACCAGCATGCACGTCGATTTTCCATGCACGGGAAAGTCGAAACGCCGGAAGGAAACACGGCGCACATATCGGAGCAATGTAATCCCGGATGAAATGTTTGTGTAACGCGAGGAGAAGCGGTTGATTCGAATTCCCGGTCGCACTAAGCTGCCCCGATAAATGAAATTTCTTTATGCCCCCCGCCCCCGTTCCACCCGCCCCCTAAACACGCCACTCCGACAGGGCTAAACGCAATGGCAACTTTGCGCGAATTTTCCCGTGTTCACGCACTGCCGTGACGGATTTATCGGGAGCGATCTACTATACCAGTAGATCTATCTACGTTATCGACCAAACGTTCTGTGTTACCGAGGCTTGCCGGTAGAGTAATCCTGAATGTTCTACATTATCGAGAGAACGGTCTACCTTATCGACTCTTCTCGATGCACTCTTATTTAAAAATTCGCCAACGTCGATGACGCTAGCATTCCTTTCCATACCGTTCATGGGCGAATAAACGTAGACCGAAGGGGTCTGTTTCATAAAACGCGGCTGAAACATTCGAACATTCGTCGAAGCGTACGGGATCGATCATCCAGGCGGGGGATAAGTCGCGCGTTGCTCCTCGAGTTCTGACGTTCCCCTATCCCCATTGTCGTTCGATCGCTCCAGCCACGCGGGAGCCATTGTTTAGACGCGATTCACTCGGATTATCTTCCCCGTGTTAATTAGTTACGCGCGTTACACCTCCGTCGAGGTGTGCGCATCACATAAATTCCAATTAGGCTGGCCTATTCGCGAGGGACTCGGGATCCCTCGCGAACTCGATCAAATTGCTCGACGTTTTACAAGAACGTTCGGCGACTGAACCCTGGCTGCGAGCATTGACAATACTCCCACAAAGATGTAACAAAGAATACGTCCGCTTGAAACGAACATAGCTACTTTCTGCTACTAGCTGCCAAATTAAATCTCCGACGAAGAAGCCTACCTCCAATGAAATGGCACGTTCTAACATTCCGACGGATTGATCAGTAAGCTTTTTTCCGTGTTCCTCTCTTTACTTGGAGCGCAGAACGCGGCACAATTCGCCTCGATACGAGGAATACGTTGAATCGCGAATTCATCCGAGTAGGTGCATAACGCTCGAGAACGTCCCAGCGTAGCTGTGCATCCGTGACGTCGACGTCGACGTCGCCGTAGGACGCTCGCGGAAGGAGGGATACCACGACGACCCACATTCCGTCGAATTTAATTTCATGCCTTATCTCTGGTAACCACGGTACAATGCTTCAACTGGGGCGGCTGCGAAACCTTCTATCTTTCCCTTGTACGCTCCACATACACCGTCGCAACCTGCGCAACCCCGTCACGGTGTCTCCTTTCCTATTTGCAAACGTAATTTTTACCTGCGTTTTCACCACGAAAATATTCGTATCCCACGTTTTACACGATGTGTCAGCGACCCGTGGATACCATTTATCCGGCTCGATTCGTCGCAAACCAAAGTACAAACATTTCCTAACCTCAAAGTTTTCTTTCAGTCGGTTTGGAACGTTCATTATTTTTATTATTCCTAGGACGACACTGTTCGGATAATAGAAGGTTTAGTTAAGCGTTGCGCGGGTAACAAAGGTTCCGTGTTAAAGAAGAAGACGTGAAGCAAGGCTCGACAACCTAGTTTCCTTTAACGCGAGGCATGTACACAGAGGGTGACAGCTATTTACACGCGCTCGTTTCCATCCCTTCCACACCCTTCGGTTAATGAACGATCCACGGAGCTCTATCTAATACAGAGCTATCTAATATAGTTTACTGACGTAAACCACTGTGCATTTCAAAGGGAAATAGACAATTTGTCTCCGGAAGGAGTATGGGTCATGTTTGGGTCAGACGTCTTAATCAGATTAGGCTTGTGGGATTCTCATGGACGTTGTGGTGCCGGTTCTCCGTAAGGGAAAGCAAGAGAGGAGAGAAAATGATAGGTGCCTCTTGTTCTGGGTCTGCTAATCGACAACTTTAAAAGTCGAATGTCTCAAGAATTAACGACGTAAGGTCTGCGTTGGGTCCTGGCCTTTTCTTTTTAAAATTCCTACCAAGAATATCGAGTTTCCCATGTAGTCATCCTTCGCCAGCCACAGGACGTGCTATAGTACATCCGTCTAAATATTCTTTTCGTATCTTCGCAGGAAATAGCTCTTCGGAAATAACCCAATCGGTCACTTCGTATAAATCACCCCGGCGCGAACTCCCATTTCCTCAATGGACGCTGAAAAGAATCGCGTCCCGGTCCTGTAGCCTGTATTTTTCAATTTCCTGCCAGCGAGCGTCCCATTACGGGGGAGTTAATAATCGGACGGCTCGATTTCCCGAAATAAATGTCCCGCTTTCGCGCTTTTAACCAGCCAGCAAAAGTTGGATGGGAAGCGCGGCCGGAGTCGGTGGCTGATAAAGCGATCGCGTCCCATCGCGCGTACACGGACGTGTTACGCGGCAGAAATAGCCTCACAATCGACCTCCAGCCGCGTATCCGCCTCCTACACGGTGCAAGAGCCCCTCCTGGTACACGTGCTTTGTAACAAACGTATGTAACCGCGCGACTCAGCCAACACGCACGCTATCGCGCACGGTGGACTACATACGCCGCGAACTGCCCGCTCCTCCGCCTCGCTGTGTCCACGCTCGTTTCAATGCTCGCGTATCTACGCGTAGCTATCTCTTTCGCCTTTTGACCAGACGGGCCAACCGCGGGGAACAGTCAGGCAGTTGGGAGTCGACGCCGCCATTGCACGAGGCCGCCATTGCAGGCCCCGAGCAGGGTTGCCACGAGTCGAGGGAAATCGGCCGCGTTGGGCCTTACGCGACGTATTGAGGTACACTGGACAGGGGGATAGCAAAGTGGTGCGTATAAGGAACAAGGATACAGCAATTCGTGACGCCGCGCTTGGCTCAACGCAACCTCGCGGAAAGAATTCAATTGAAAAGGGATGACTATCGATCTTCGAGATTTAATGTACCGAAGTCAAGGGATGTTCCGTAGGAGATCCCTAATCGAGGGCACGTTCATCCTGACGGAATCTGTTTCAAACTCTCTGTCGAGTCTTCGCTAGCAGACTCGGCACAAGAGACAAAGATACAGCGATGTAGCTTCCTTCCTAGCTCTGTGTGACGTCACCAGACTCGTCAGCACACACCATGGAGACTGTTGTCATAGGACTGTCGACATAGGACGTTGACATCCGAGGACATGATTATTTCAGGACGTGGTCATCTCAGGACATGAATCCTAGAGCATTGGTCATCTCAGGATTATGCCTTCTCATGTATATATAGTTACGAGTATCCGTGAATAAATATGCATAGGCACCAACGACCAGAACGAGGATACCCCACCATGTCATCCACTTGCGTCGACATGTTTGCGATGTAACCTCGGGACGTTTGCTGATCTAGCAGCAGTTTACTTCGTAGTTTGTCGTGCTTTATACCGCGAAGGCATTCTATATCTCAGAGAGCACGACTGCGGATAACAAGGGGCACGAGAATCTTATAGAATGCATCGAGCAGTTGCCTTCCTTCCTCGAGGAATTCTTGTTTGACGGAACGACGTCGTTAGGATTTTTCCGCAGGAGGCGACGCGCACCAGAGAAAAGGAAATAAAGTACACCTCGAACGAGAGATAGGAGAGAACTGCAGGTATAACGAGGAGAATGCTCCTCTGTTGTTCCAATACGCTTTGAGGAATCCAGCTTCGAGACATTATAGAAACGATGATCCTACGGAAAAGTCGAAAACCATTGTCGTCAAAATTGAACATTGATTGGTCCGACACTATGATGCCGGGAGTCTGAGCTGGAGACCCGTCGTGTGCAGTCTCGAGGAAAGAATTCAGTTGAAAAGGGATGACTATCGATCTTCGAGATTTAATGTACCGAGGTCAAGGGATGTTCCGTAGGAGATCCCTAATCGAGGACACGTTCATCCTGACGGAATCTGTTTCAAACTACTCGTCGGATCGTGCATGCATCGAAAATTCTATCTTAAACAAATCATCGTCGGCGCGATTCTTCCTTCGCCGCGACAACTAACAGTGGCATTCAGGGCCAGACATCTGACGCACAGAATTTCCGGAAACAAGTTGCGCGCGGATGGCTTGCGTAACAACGTACGCGTAATTTTCGCGTCTCGTTTCGCTAGAATCGAAATATGCAAACATGTAGAGGAATTCGGATGACGTAATTTCGAATTAGTTCTGAAATCTAAATGAAAACAAGGACCGTTTAAACGAAAATCATTGGTTCGGAACCGGAAATGCTGTAGGATATTCGAAGGTCGTCTATATATTTTTCTAAACAACGGAATTCGATAAAGTAGCAAATTTTACGAGGAAAAGTATCAAGGTACACTTGTCTTAATCGCGATACCTTCAGAGATATTCGGCTCTGAATATCAGTCCTTGGATGGTTATGGGGTTGCCATAAGTTGAGCGAAATTGACTGCGTTGAGCCTTGCGCGACGCAATAAGGATTAGTAGAGGGGAAACCTAGTGTAGAGTGGCGCGTATAAGAAACAAGGATGCAACGATTTGTGACGTCAGTTCGGCTCAACGTTGGCAACCCTGTCCCTACACTCTCCGGTTTGTCCGTGGCCCTTTAACTCGGAAAACTCCTTATATCATGAAGATATCCCGTGGAAGTTTCGAATTCCCTGGTTAGTTCACGATAGCATCTATCACTCGCGTTTAACCACGTGATCCCCAACGGACGCTTACACGGTAACGTCTAAGATCCGTTTACCCGAGGATCTTGGGGATCTCACACGAGGCCTTAATTGCCGAGTAAGGAGCAATTAGTCCGGCAGAGGGGGCGAGGGGACGTCTAATCGGATAACGCTAATCTCTACGACAGGCTTGCCACCGCACCAGATGGACGAGGCTCGAGGGAGGATAGTGGAACGATAGGAGGCGACCGGTTGCGGCTGCAGCTGCGGCGTCGGTCGCTGCACCTGCAGCTGCAGCTGCGGCGACGGCGACGACGGCGACGCTGCCGGTAGCAGCGTTTTGATAAGACGACGGAACGATGCAGAGCACGGGCGACTACTATCAGAGGGCGCCGAGATGCTGTCCAGGAAGAAATGCAAATGCGAACGCTGAGGCCTTGCGGATCAGCACGTCCGTCAGGGGCGCGGAACTGCTCTGCTGTTGCTGCAGCTGCAGCACCGCGACGTCCACCAAGACGCCCGGACTTTTGGCCAGTCTGGGGGTCTGCGTTCTCGTGCTGGGCTACGCGCTGCTTGGCGCGTTCGCGTTCATGGCCTTGGAGGGTGGCCTCAAATCGGTGAGTGGACTTCTAGCAGCTTAGACTCTCTTAGGATCTTCCGAGGATTCCCCTCACTTCCATAGGACCTATACCCTCCTCCCCAGGAGACACCAATTAACCTAGAGTATACGGTTCGGGTATCCCTGTATTCCCTCTAATAGAAATTTGCCTATTCCAGGATTCGACGAGCGAGCTGCTTCCCAGCGGCCCGAAGGCCGAGGGAGGATCGTACGTTGTGCCGAGCCTCGAGGATGACACCGTAGCCATGGAGCTCAGGGCGCGCACCGTGGAGAGGCTTTGGAGCATCACCGAAGATCTGAACGTGCTGTACAAAGAAAATTGGACGAGACTAGCAGCCAGAGAGGTGTTCGAGTTTCAGGAGAACCTCGCTCGCGGTCTTAGGCGGACTTCCTCGCAATACGAATCATCGCGATCCAGGGATCACGCAGTAGATAGGCGGCCGCACCGACGGTGGACCTTCAGCGGTAGCTTGTTGTACTCTCTGACGCTGATCACGACAATAGGTAATGTTCGCTATCCTGGTATATTTATCACATTCGATGCAACACTTGTAATTACAAACTGCCAACCGAGGGACTGAGTCTAAAACCTACTTACCTGTAAAAATCAAATCCTGTACAGATAGAAGGATGTCTACCTAATCTAAAGCCGCGTACCTGATACTAGCCATTGTCATCATAAACGATCCTAACGTTAATCGCTCGATCGACGTTTCAGGGTACGGCAGTGTAGCGCCTCGCACGGTTTGGGGTCGTTTGATCACCATAGTTTACGCTCTGGCCGGGATTCCCCTGATGCTGGTCTATTTGAGCACGGTTGGCGACGTTCTCGCGAGGAGCTTCCGCCGTTTGTACGGGCGGCTTTGCAGGCCACGTAATTGCACGAGGAAGCAACAACCACCGCCCCCTCCACCGCCAGTCGGCGGTATCATGAGCAAGACGTATAGATACGACAACCACGTCGACTCTAAATCCGGCAATTACTATTCGGCCAGCAGGGAGAGCTCCTGCGACGATTTAGGGACGCGGGGCACCAGCAGTGCGATTCTGCTGGATTGCGGAAGCGAAGGCCTCCTGCACGCTACCACCAGCTCTACTGCCGCCCTTCAGGTACGATACTCTTTAGGGTCATGTAACATCCACGTGTTACATTCGTATTATTAAAAACAACGGTGATATATTAGTTACAAATCCGCATTTAATTAAATGTCCCGGGTTCGAGAATCCCTTCTCTTAACAGGTCGTCTAGCCTATTTCTGACCTGGCTTATTGTTCCAGGACGTGTCGTCTGGCAACGGTAAACGCCACTTTCATCCGTGCTCCCTGTCCCTGTCGACGAGCTCGTCGCCTGGCTATGTGGTGGAGACGAACACCGTCAGGATACCGATAAGCCTATGCCTGGTGATCATGCTGATTTACATATGCGGCGGCGCCGTAATGTTCAATCGACTGGAGGGCTGGAGCCTTCTAGAAGGCGGTTACTTCTGCTTCACGAGCCTCGGAACGATCGGGTTTGGCGACCTGATGCCGGTCGGAAGAAACGCGGCGTCCGCCACCCTGGAGGAGCTCAGCCTGTGCGCCTGCTCGCTCTACATACTCGCCGGGATGGGCCTGATCGCCATGTGCTTCAACCTCGTCCAGGAGGAGGTGGTACGCGTGGTCAGGGTCTTCGGTAGAACCTGCGGCATGTCGTCGGGGGTGGTGGTCGGACCTATCGGTGGTACAGGTATCCCTGATGCAGGCATTCGACGGGGAACCGCCAGATCGTTCCGGGCGAGAAAGAATCTCCCAGTTCCGCTTTAGACCGTGACCTTGACACTTTGAGCCCGGCGACCGTACCGTCACCGGGTTAAGATACTTTTACACCTTAAAGCGTTCTTCGAGTATCCACTGCCAGAGATATCTTTCTACGTCTTTATTTGCTACGCTATTATAATTCTGTAACCGTAAGGTTGAACTACGAGCAGGTGTCGGGCTCGATAGTGTCGAATTTTTGACGAGCAAACGTGTTACACTTTCCAAGAGAGCGGTACTGATCCAATCGCGTCGGGGATTTCGATCGAGCATCTTGACCACTCTGCATAAAACCCCTTCAATTAAAATCATTTGTCGTGCCACGCGTACCGAAGCCCCGGTGTCGGCGAAAGGGAGTGACCACGGCTCTGTTTTCCAGCAGGTGCCGGTCTTGGGCTCAAAGGCGACCTCGACGACGGCGGAGGCACCAGCGATTCGCGACTGTCCGAACAGGAAGACGAAGCAATCGCCATGTCCATGGTGCCAACATCCTGACAGCATCAGGCCAGGAGCCCCGGCGACGGGAAGCTCCTGGCCCACGCGTCCAACACTGCCATAAAGCCATCGCCCGGCCATCACTCTCTGCCACGCAAGAAAACGCCATCCGACGTTAGGAACGCCGCCTCAACGCAACAGTTTCAGCGCGCTCAGTCGCTGAGGCGGAGCTGCCTGTCGCCTACTCAGTATCATCAGCAGCAGCATCACGCGCATCGTCAGCAGGAGAGCTCGTTGCATTTCGAATACTTTGTGCCGCGAAGCGTCAGCGAGTTCAATCTGGCCGCAGCGGCAGTCACCGACATTGCTGTCCCACCGCCGCCGCCCTCGTCCGTTCTAAGACCCGCCTCCGCGATCACGCCCCCGGTCGCTTCCGTCGTGAACCCAGTCCCGTTGAACCAGTCGCGTCTATTGGAGTGCACCGCCACTACGACCAGGAGTCGCGAGAAGATGGTCACCTTCGAGGACGAGGGTGTTAACTGTGCCACCTCCACGCCCACCAGGAAGAACGTCTCCGCCCTCGACAATGTTTTCATGTGACGCTGCAATCACGGTTGAACGCGAGTGCCAGACTCCATGTGAACGTAGGCGGGGACGAGCTCTCGGGGCGTGGCCTTATCGCGAACCGATCAAAGACCACGCCCTTTAGACACAACGAGAAAGATCGAAACGAATCGTTTTGCGCTCTGTTTGCTCAATAACGATGCTGGTCGATAAGATTGACGAAGGACGAGTATATAGACGTTCTTGGACAGGCGAAATCTGAGATGGAAGATTTATAAAAGGAAGGCGGTACTGTACAGGCCCATGAGAGAAACGCTGCGACGTGTAATGAAAACAGCGATTCTCGATTGTATGATAATAGATACTCTCACTGTTGGCGAGAAGAACAACCTGCAGGCGATGCAAGATGCGTTTGCTGGAAGACTAGGAACACTGTTCGACGTCTACCAATGTCTCGAGGAACCGAGAATGTGTCGTATAACTCTGAGCCTTCGGAGCATTTCTTCGTCGATAGAACTGCTCGTGTACAGATCTTCTGGTTTGAAGATGTTCGAGCTAATTACGACAAGAGTGTCTCGAACGCGATCCCTGCAATTCCCGGTTCACGAGAGGCGGGAGAGGACCGCCTGAATGGAAAACAAAAAAACACTAGATTTCTATCGTTTAAATTATAACAACCGTTACTGTAACACTAATTAATACTCTTAATCGCTGCTGATATTCTTCTTCTTACCATTATCGTTGCTAGGTTACACAGCTGCCCGCGAAACTGCGACTTCGCTGGCGAACATACTTTGTACGACGCGTCACGCGTCAAACATCTACGAACTATCGAAATATACGATTACGACGCCTCTTTCTCTTCCAGTTATCTTTTTTTCGAGACCTGATTGTACAATTGACCGAAAAAGTATGCGAGGTTCGATTTCGAGGGCTGACCAGTGCGTAATGGGCGTGGCGTACACTGAGAAGGTGGATATGCCAGGGTGGAACTTCTTACGGTCAGTCGTAGCGTAACTTGTAAGGAACTCGCGTTGGAAACTTGATTCTTTATAGTTTACAACTTTGAAATGCGCGTTTTGTCGTGATTATAGTCGGATCAAAAATTCGTTTGCATTTTGTACCTCTTGAAGGAATAATTCGGAGCGAGGAGTCGGGAGGTGGGCCAAGAGGCGGAGCAAAGAGTCGAGAGGTGGGGCAAGAGGCGGTGCGAAGAGGCGAGAGGTGGGAGAATGGGTGATGAAACTGAACACTATACGGAAAAGTCACGATTGGTCAATAATAAATTCCGTTCCGACCAGATGAAAGCTGTGTATTACGTGAACACGTGAAACCCACTATAATTAAACAATATGTTCTCTTTCCTTTTCCGTCACGAGTGAGAAAAAAAATACACATAGTCCGTTTACAACGCTTCTCATTCATCTCTCCCATTCTAATTTTTATTTTTCAATCGTCAGGTTTCATTCTCCATATAATTATACAGCATTCACGTGAATTGTAATTTTGGGACATTCGAAATTTAAGGTAAGAAGTGTTTAAATCTTCTAACTATGCATTATATGAATTGTGGTAGGGCCTAGAACTAAACCGTTTATTTATTCTACTTTTATTTTTTTGAAGTTTGTACCGCAAGACTATTGGATTATTTATCTAATAGTTTCGTTACACTATTTTTCGATGCATTGGTTATTAATTTCTGTGTGATAAGCACTTTAGAATTAATGTGTCGTTTAATCGACTAATCATTTTCAACGTTAATCGTCATCCTCTTCACAATAATCCCACTCCTCTTCTTGAGTATTTGGCTTAAGCGGTGGCGCAACCGTGCTCTCGTCCTCGATATTTGGAGTCGTGTTATAGTTACCAAAGCCCAGATTATAGAAAAACCCTATATTAAATAGAAACTTGTTTATATCGTTTGACCGGCCAATATTTTCTAGCTTACACTGAGTTTGATATAATCTAGAACAGGGTTCGACACTGTAGAAAAACGTCGTAGTGGGACTGTCCCGATTTGTGGTAAGGTCTCTCTCTCTCCGTTCTTAGAAGGTGCAAGCGTGTTGAACCCTGCTCTAGGATATCTGTTTCTTTCGTAGATACAAAAAGAATTCAAAGGAAAGTTAAACAGTTAGGTTTGTTCGCCAAGAAACAAAATTTATCACGAAATATTTTTGTTCAGATGTTTCAACCTTTAATTTTGCTTATGAAATCTTCTCCCTTTTCCTTATCGGTATCCTCTTCATCTTCGTTATCCGATGTCTGCTTTATATTTTGATAAACGGTACATCCTATGTCCATGGTATGATTAACTATGAATTGAATGGTACAGAAAACCATAAGGAGTAATATGGGCAGGCATAAGGTGCTCTCTACGTCATCCAGAAAATTATTCAACCACTCTGGTAGTAGTTCGCCACTCATTTTCATTCGGAATCGTTGTACTTGGTAAGCTTATGCGAAAACGTCCAAGCTAACCTTCGAATGTACAGTCGTTTTTCCTGTCTGAAGTACGAATAATATTATTTTGAGGCTAGTCGTTATCAGAATGAGCAGAAAACTGTTTTCGAAACAATTTCGTGAATCATATTCTTGTTAATTTAGCCAAAGAAAAATGTCATTGCCGAAACGCACGTCAGTTATGGCGTAAATTCATTCAAAAGCTGACTCTTTCATAAATGAACTATCGATACTCGAGTAATCGATTCCTGCGAGCTTCTTTCCACTTTATATATTATTCTACTACTAGATAGACCAATTTATATTCAGATGGTCAAAATTCTATCAGTTCAGATCGTCTCAGAACTTTGAAACTCGAAATATACATCTTAATACACATCTGTGAGACATATGGATCTAATTTACTGTTTAGTTTCCTAGATACGATTAAAAATAATGTTAATGTTTTTCGAAGTTTTGAGTCTCGGCGATCTTTTCGATTTTATCACACTTTACCGAACTTCTGATGTCAAAATGTAAAATGCGGCCAAAAATAGATACATACAACATTACCTTCGAGCCACCTCTTGGCATATCATGTTCTTCTGACACCAGGAGTAAAATTTGGGCCAGAATTTCATACGTACCAAAGATTCGAAGAGGTGGCAGCACGAGGAATCTTTGGTACGTATGAAATTGTGGCTCGAATTTTACTCTTGATATCAGGACAACATGATATGCGAAGAGGTGGCACGAGGAATCTTTGGTTTGTACGAAATTCTGGCCCGAATTTTACTCCTGATATCAGGAGGACATGATATGCGAAGAGGTGGCACGATTGCGCCTACGAGCAGGCAACCGGCTCGACATATATGTAAGTAAAGGTTCCCTAATTCAAGGGGCACATTTCCGGTACGTATGGAAATTCTGGCGCGGTTTTACATTTTGGTATCAGGAGAACATGATATGCGAAGAGGTGGCACGTTTGCTCCTACGTGCAGGCAACCGTCCCGACATATCTGTAAATACAGGTTGTCCCTTCATTTCCTTCCACATTTCCCTTTAACGCCCCCCACCCCCATTTCCTGGTATATTTCCCTTTAGTTTTCCTCCATTTACTAGTATATTTCCCTTTAATTTCCCTCCATTACCTTGCACATTTCCCTTTAATATTCCTCCATTTCCTGGTATATTTCCCTTTACTTCCTGGTACGCTTCCATATAATTTCCCCTCATTTCTGTGATCCTTCCAGGTTTAACAATGTTGCAACGGCTCCGCTCAAAACTTCAACAATGTTGCAAAGTCGAGTCGATTTTTCAGATTTTGTCACATTTTACAGTACTTCTGGCTTGCCACTTTGTTGTATTTCTGAGCGTTGCAACTTTGTTGAATTTTGTTGAATTCAACAATGTTGCAAGTCGCTTTCCGCAAAACTACAACAATGTTGCAAAGCCGATTTCTCCGATTTTGTCACATTTTGTCGAACTTTTGAGTTGCCACTTTGTTGTACTTCTGAGCGTCGCAACTTTGTTGAATTTTGAGCGGCGTCGAGTTCAACAATGTTGCAAATTGCTCCCCTCAAAACTACAACAATGTTGCAAATTGCTCCTCTCAAAACTACAACAATGTTGCAAAGACGAGTCGATTTTTCGGATTTTGTCACATTTTGCCGAACTTCTGAATTGCAACTTTGTTGTACTTCTGAGCGTTGCAACTTTGTTGAATTTTGAGCCGATTCGAGTCCAACAATGTTGCAAATCGCCCGCTTAAAATTGTGATGGGAAATGTCGCATTTTTACTCCTGGTAACAGGAGAACATGATATGCGAAGAGGTGGTACGAGGAATACATGGTACGTATGAAATTCTGGCCTGACTTTACTCCTGGTATCTGGAGGACATGATATTCGAGGAGGTGGCACAAGGAATCTTTGGTACGTATGAAATTGTGGCTCGAATTTTACTCCTGG